TGGGGTGGTCAGTAGGGAGGAGGTTGGGTTCTTTTCTTGGGCCCAACTTGTTTGAAGAGCAATTTAAAAGGGCAAAGGAGATGGGGTTCTGTGGAGGGAGGAGTGTGGGGGATAGGAGGAGGAGCAGAAGAGTGAGAAGGTAGAGGGGAGAGGCTGGGTCCAGACTCAGGGAAGGTTCAGAGAATCCAAACACGTTGCTCAGGCTGGTTGTGGGCACTGGCTGCGGACTCCCTCTGCCCTGGGCAGTCCCGGCTTCTCTCCAAGGTGCTGACCAGCCAATTGGGGGGCTGGTCTGCATGCCCCGGCCCACACTGCACGGCTCCTGGCCAGGCCCTAGTCATACACCCCAGAGTCCCCTGGCTCTCCCGTTAAAGGAGGCCCTTGCCTGGAAGGAGAGAGGGACTGACGGCCAGGACAGTGGGCCGCAGTGGGGAAGCCTGAGTGGGTCTGCCCCCCCGGTGGAGAAGGCCCTGCTCAGTGGCAGGCACTGGTTAACCCCTGCCCCGCCCACTCTCCTTGATGCTCCCTCACTGGAGTCTGCAGCCAGGGTCCTGGGCTCTGGGTAGCCGGAAGTCGGGTATCAGGATTGAGGTAGAGGTTCAAGAACATTTGTCCCACCCACAGTCCCTAGCCGGGGTGAGATCTGGGAGCCTGGACGGAGCAAGGTGTGGGAGACGGGCTCGGGCAGAGGAGACGCAGACCACAGACGGGGCAGTGGCAGGAGACAGCTGCTACAAATCTCTAACTCTGGGTCCTTCTGGCCTCTCTCCTTGATCTGTCTTCCTGAGGGAGTGGGAGGTGCTGAGAGAAGGGGCTAATCCCTCTGGCCACTGCCCCCTAAATCTGGGCCTCAGCCTCCACCAGCTGTTACCAAACTTTCTTTGTCTGGAGTCTGAGCCAGAGCCTCTGGGGCAGAAGGGAGCCAGGACATGCTGAGCCTTAATCCAGACATGTGGTTTAATCCAGAAAAGATCAGCTCGAGGTTTGGGCGCTGGAGGCATCACTCAGGAGATGAACATTACCTCGGGCCTGGCAGAGGCTGGTAGGAGGGCCAGGCCTGCTGTCCTAGGGATGTGGATCAAACACAGGGTTTGTCCCAGGGCCCTAGTCCTATGGAGCCATAGCCTGAGGGTCAGCAGGCCCCCAGTTTGGTCCGAGCTCTGCCGTGACGGTGGGCACGTCCTTGCCACTCTCTGAGTGTCATTTTTCCCAATGCACATGTGTGCATGTCTTCTTGGGCGAGTAATCACCTGAGAACATAATCATGGCTGAATTGCATGGCGCAGTTGGGGAGAGCTGGGAAGTCAGAGGAGGAACCTGTTGCGGGGGGCTTCCTGGGGGAGGAGGGCTTTGCGCTGAGTTGTGATGAGAGGGAAGGGGCATTTTGGGCAGGGGCATGGCAGCATGAAAGAAAATAGCCATGTTGTGCCCACAGCACAGGGGAGAGGGGACCAGGGGAGAAATGTCATTGTCCTTAGAACCTGGATATGGTCACCATGTTGATCAATCCCTGGTTCTGGTCCAGGCCCTGCCTCTTACCAACAAAAGAATCCCTTCCCCATATGTGATCTACAAAACGGTCACATAATGTATGGTCCCTTCCAACTCTGATCATCTGGGCTGGGTAGGAGGTTGGCTCAGAGGTGGGTACCTGTCACTAGAATGGTGCAAGGCTGGCCACGGGGAGCCATGGAAGTTTCTTGAGCACAGGGGTGCCCAATGAGGAATGTTGAAGGAAAATGAGTTTGACAGTGGGGTGGATTGAGCCGAGGGGAGGTAGGAATGGAGGATCAAGTGACCCAATCAGAAAGTGGGCAGGACTCTGGGAAAATGGACCAGCCAGAGCAGAAGCCTCAGAGGGAATGTGGCACAATGAGCAGAGCCTGCATGGGGCCAGCTGGGGACTTCAAGCAAGCTGCCTAAGATCTCTGAGCCGCACTGTCCACATCTATAACCTGGGGCTCTCGAGCCCATGTCCCTCAGGGCTATGGGCAGTAAGGGGGATAATGGGCATGAATGCTCAGGCCATAGGCGGTGCCCTCCTGAGTCTGGCCCTGGAGCCTGGAGGAGAGAGTGTGGTAGGCTGGGCACCCAAACCCCCAGCTCCCTGACCAAAAAACCAAGGTCCCCCCAGATCTGGGCTGCCGGGGTCAGAGCTTTCCCCACCACCTCCCCAGTTGTGGACAGTCAGATCTTTCCTCCCACCACATGGTTAATTTTCAACTTATTTTTCACCAGGGAGGTATTGGGAGCTGGGACCAAGACTTGGTTGGGAGCAGGTTCCTTGGCATTTAGCTGAAAGGTGAGGGGGGAGCTGGAATGTGGGGTGGGGAGGAAGTGGGAATTCTCTGCCATGAAGGAGCCCTGGGCCGGGAGTCCCAAGACCTGGATGCAAATCCCTTAGGTCTGTGCACCTTCACTTCCCTATCCACAGACTAGGAATGAGAATAGGGCTCAGGCTGCATCTCTCCAGGGAGGGATGGATACAAGGGCGCTCACTCAACATGTCAAGGCCATGTCATCATGTCCTTACTGAGTGAATGCTGCCACCTGCCCTGCCCATTCATCCTCACTGACCCCTCAGGCCATGGTCCCCCCAAAACCAGAATCTGCCTCCCATCCTACCTGTGGCTGTGGCCAAGCAAACAGGAGGGCCATGAGAGAAGCGTGTTCTCCTGCTTCTTGGAAAAGCTCCCGTCTTCCTGGCATATGGCCCAGGGTGCTGGCAGAGACTGTCCTAACGTGGCAGGCATGGGAGCTCTGGGGACGTGGATGGGGCGGGAGGCAGGTAGGGGTGATGAGGGAGGGGTGGGGGGCTGAGAGGGGCTCTCGGCTCTCCAGGGGTGGGGCCTCCTAGGGGGGAGGGCATGGGCGCAGGCCGGGGTGGGGACCCAGGAGCAGAGCGGGCTGTGGGCGCTGCCTAGATAAATAATGTTGGGCCCACAGCACACATGTGTGTTTGCACAGAAGGCCTTGAAATGATTCCAGGCCTGCCCTCTGTCCCCCGCAACCCCAGTCCCCCTCCTTCCCTGCTCACCCCACCCCACCCTGACCTTTCCTTCCTTGTCACTTAAAGGAGCCCTTGAAAGGGAGAGTCAAAATCAAAGGAAACACCCTTCTCTCTTGCTGGCATTCTCTCTGCCACAGGAAACTACACGGTTACCATGTACAGTTGAGAAGGTTGGGCACTGCACAAGGGAGGGGAGAAGAGGGAGTTGAAATCCCACTTGGGCTCCAGTCACCCAACTGCTATCAAGAGAGAAAGGTCACCCTGTGCTGAGATATTTGAAGGTGTGGAATGGACTAACAGCAGCCCTAGAGATGCCAGAAGTGTCTTCCCAACTGGGGGCTCTTTAGGGCAAATGAACACCAAGGCTGAGCAGGTCAATCCCAAAGCATGACTCACAATGGGCAGGGAGCCTCCCTCCCAGTCCCAGCGTGGCACAAGAAATGCCCCCAGGAGAGCTTACCAGTCCTTTGATTAAAGCCTCTCCCTCTTACTGGCCAGAGGCCTTTAAAGCAGCAATTCTCAAATGTGAACAAATATAGAATCACCCCCCAAGGCCTGTTGAAATGCACTGCTGGGCTTCCCCCGGCTTCTGATGCAGTAGCTCTGGGGCAAGCCTGAGAATCTGCATTTTTGCCAAGTTCCCAGGGGGTGCTGTCGCTGCCTGTCCAGGCACCCCACTGTGAGAAACACTGCTTTCCGAACACGAACACACGTTAATTCAGCCTTAATGTGTTTTTCTGTTCCTTTTGTCCGTGCTGATTTTACTGAGGGCGCATATATGTTGATGATCTTCCACGGGGACTTATTCTTGAGTCCCGGGCTCACAGATCACAGGAACAGCCCAGAAGCCTGGCTGTCTTGGTGTATGTACATCTGACTTCCCCGAGCTGCCAGCTCCAATATGGGGTTCAGAGAGAAAGGGCCTAGAGGCAAAGCGTACTACATGACTGATGGGGAAAGAGGTCTCTAGCTGTGTGTTGAGACCAGGGGTACACCCCTGGGGGGCCTTGGGGCAGTAGAAGGAGGCAATGTGTGAGTTGCTGGGGGCCTCCCTCGCTGGGGAACCAGAGCATGGGTCTTCTCTCCAACCCCTGATCTCGTCCATCCTCCCCACCCCCACTGCTCTGTTCCCACACCAGCAAACCCCCTCCCCACCACCCCTACCTCTGTGCTGGGCAAGAGGAAATGAGAGAGCCCTGGGAGCTGGGAGGGGCTGGGGCAGCATCTCTGGGGAAGATGAGGTGGGGTGGGGACCCAGTTCTGAGTGGGTGTGGTGGTGTTCGGTCCCAACCTCAGTGGTGTTCAGCTGGAAATTTATCCACACCCCCCAGATGGCCCTGTGGGAGGGGAAGGGGGGGTTCTTCCTCCCTGACTTGTGAGGGGATTTTACCCCATCACACCCCTCACTTGCTCCTTTCTTCCTTCCTTCACCTAGAGGTGAAGGTGATGGTGACTTTCTCCCTTCCCCACCCTCTTTAAGGGAAGGATAAAAGAAAACAAGCTCTGCTATAGCAGGAAAGATTGAGGTTAGATCTCAGAAGGAACTTTCTCTCCAAGGCAGTGGACTGGGCTCTGGGCATGGGCTGGTCCAGGGATAGAGGCCCGGACATTAAAGACTCCTTGTCCAGGCCTCAGTTTGCTCACCTACCAAATGGGGCTAATCATGCCTTCAATGGTGAGGCTTCAGTGAGGTCAAGAACCTCAGAAGGTTGTTTTAAGCGTGCCACGTGGGTAAAGATTTGCTGCTTTCAGCCACCCTGGCTTCCTTGGGGAGTGAGGGAGCTGTCCGTTTATACCTCACTGTCTTTCTCAGCCAGAAGCCTATCTGCCCAGCCCTGTCCTAACTGCCCAATGACCCGGAAGCCCCAGCTCTCTCCCAGGCCCAGCCACTGCCCACTGAGCCCCTCATTCCCGTAACCAGCTTAGTGGCCCCCAGGGGGGATGGGGAAGCAGCCAGAACCTGATTCCCCATCCTCTCTTCTTTCCGCAGACACAGCCACCGGCCCAAGCGACAGCGGCATGGGCAGCGCCAGTCCTGGCCTGAGCAGCGTGTCCCCCAGCCGCCTCCTGCTGCCCCCTGACACCGTGCTGCGGACAGGCCTGGAAAAGGCAGCCGCAGGGGTGGCGGGGCCCGAGAGACGGGACTGGAGCCCCAGCCCGCCGGCCACGCCTGAGCAGGGCCTGTCTGCCTTCTACCTCTCCTACTTCGACATGCTGTACTCTGAGGACAGCGGCTGGGCTGCCAAGGGTCCCGGGGCCAGCACGCGGGAGGAGCCGTCCGAGGAGCCCGAACAGTGCCCAGTCATCGACAGCCAAGCCGCCGGAGGGAGCCTGGACTTGGCACCGGGGGGGCTGACGCTGGAGGAGCACTCCCTGGAGCAGGTGCAGTCCATGGTGGTGGGCGAGGTGCTCAAGGACATCGAGACCGCCTGCAAGCTGCTCAACATTGCTGCTGGTGAGGCCTCCCGCGGGGCCACCTCCGGGAGGTTGGGCACAAGCTGGGCGGAGGTCGCGAGGGTGGGGGTGGGTTGGCAAGGGTATTGTCTGCGGCGCTGTGGCCACCACCACCTCCACCCGCCCAGCTGCAGCAGCCCCAGTGGTGCTGGTGATTCTGTACCTACGGGTGGCCCATAGCCTATAGCAGCTGGGTGCCTGAGGGAGGTTCTGACCCTCTCTGTGCCCCGACTACCGGGGGCAGTGCACCTGAGCTCTACACCATCCAGCCCACCACCTCCTCCTGGACTCCTCTCCACGTTCTCCTCATTTACTCGGCTCCAGCTACACCGGCTCTTCACTGCTCCCGCGACACTCATACCTCAGGACCTTTGCATCTTCTGGTCTCTCAATCTAAAACGCTCTTCCCTGAAATATTTACTTGGCTCACCCCTTGCCTCCTTCTGATCTAGACTCAATGGCACTGTTTTGAGGAGGATTTTCCTGATGCTTCCATTGAATTTACTGTCCATACACCACCTGATTCCTCCTCCCTGCTTTCTCTCTCCCGTTGCATGTACTAATACCCTGCGTATTTTATTGATTGACCGTATTTGCTGTCTGTCTCCCCCGCTGGAATGTACACACCCTAAGGGCAGGGATTTTCCTTTGCTGTGTTCATGGCTACATCCCCAGGTCCTAGGATCGCACCTTGCACATAGTAGATGCTTGATAAACAGTAGTTTCTTAACATGCCAGGCCCTGTTCTAGCATGGTGAGGGAGGGTGGATTAAGTGGTGAACACCGCACAAGGGCCCCCTTCTTCAGGAAGCTGACATTACAGCGAGGGAAACGGATCAGAGATACGGAGATAAGTGTGTCCCTGGTCCAGTCGTCATGAGGGCTCTGATGAGGAAGGGGCACTAGGAACACAGGCACCTATGTACCTGTCGCAGGCTGGGAAGTGTGGTTATGGCACTAATGCTGTGGGCCTCCAGCCTCCTGTTCCTGCACTGTCCCTCCAGCTTTGGGCAGACCTGACCCATCTCCTTGGGTGCTAGGTCCCAGCCTTTGAGCATCGAGGTCTCAGCTGCTTTCAGGCATCCCTCAGGCCCAGCCCTTCCTCCTCAGAGTCATCCTGGACCCGCATGTGTCCCCCCAGACCATCTCAGCTGGTGTGCCCCTGCTCCCTGCCCCAGGCAGCTCTTGCCCTACCCCCATAGTCTTCCAGTTACCCAATGCTCCTGCTGGTCCCCACTGCTGGAGGTTTTCCCATGGTGCCTCCTTTCCCACACTGGGCTGAGGAGGGGCCTGCCCTCTGAACAATGGGGACAGAAACAAATTGCTTTGACCCTGGGAAGGAAAACGAGTTTATTAAGTGGGGGTAGCCCAGCCTGCAGGTCACCTACCTGGGGCACCAGCTTAGACCAGAGTGTGTACTTGGAGGCCCCATTGGGACCATGCCTAGCAGCCCGGCCTCCCCCCATGTGTCCTGCAGGCCTCAGCCCAGAGCAGCTCCCCAGGGGGACGTCCAGGACCTAACCAGTGATTCTATTCCTGGCCTCTGAGGCCTATAGCTACCGCCCCTGGCTTGATGCCCTGCCATTTATTCATTCAGTGCAGACGCACTGAGGAGCTACTGAGCCCCTTGCTGGGTGTTGGACAAGGGGCTAGTACTCTCTGTGCCTCAGTTTCCTCATCTGTAAAACGCAGCACAGTTTGGGGTTGTAGGACTACTCTCTAGCTGTTTGTTTGTTTGTTTGTTTGTTTTTCTGGTTCCTTGAAGGGTTTGGGGAAGGCAAGAGGCAGCTGGGAGATAAACTCAGGTGTCTGGTTTAATGTCACTCTCCCCTCCAGGACTGGGGCTTCCTGAAAGGCCCCTTGGAGGGCCTGGAGGGGTCAGGAAGACTTGAGGTCTTGGTGAGGTGGGGGGTGCAGAGGCCCCAGGCTACCCTGCCCTGAGCCAAGTTTGTTTTTAGGGCCCTGGCTGCTCCCTCCTGCTCCCCTCTCTTCTCAGGTGCCCCCTCCACAGGCCTGTCTGGTCTGGCCTGTTCTCACCCCCGGAGCCCCTGGTCCTGGCCCCAAGCTGCTTCCAGTTCCCAGGGGCGCCCCACAAGATGCAGGCGATGCCCTCCGCCCGCCCGTGGAACTGAGGGAGTGTCTCTTGCCCAGACCCCGTAGACTGGAGCCCTGGCAACGTGCAGAAGTGGCTCCTGTGGACGGAGCACCAGTACCGGCTGCCGCCCGTGGGCAAGGCCTTCCAGGAGCTGGGGGGCAAGGAGCTGTGTGCCATGTCGGAGGAGCAGTTCCGCCAGCGCTCTCCTCTGGGTGGCGATGTGCTCCACGCCCACCTGGACATCTGGAAATCAGGTGGGACATGGCCTGGGAGAGCAGTGCCTCCCAAGCTCCAGGTCCGGGACACGGAGTAGGGGGGACTGGGGGTGGGGGCAGTCGGTCCAGAACACTAGCCAGGCTTATTGGCTGCTGGGGCAGCAGCTGCTTGCTCCCAGTCTGGGCTCTGTTCTAAATCTCAGTCCCCCTGGCAACTGCCTCCAGGGATCCTGGACGAACCCTCCAGCCTCGACCCACTCCCAGTCCCGCTCAAGCCCACAGAACTTAGGGCAGGGCATGGGGGAAGTTAGAAGGCAGGAGTTTCATTCTGGGAACACGGATGGCATAGTTGATGGGGACCGTGGGTACTATGAGGTCCCTCTTTGTCTTTTTTTTTTTTTTAAAGTTCATTTGTTTATTTTGTGCTGTTTCTCATTAAACAAGTAGTGAGGTAATACATGGGTATGATTTCTAAAAAGACCATAGTGGGGCGCCTGGGTGGCTCAGTGGGTTAAAGCCTCTGCCTTCGGCTCAGGTCATGATCCCAGGATTCTGGGATCCAGCCCCGCATCTCGGGCTCTCTGCTCAGCAGGAAGCCTGCTTCCTCATTTCTCTCTGCCTGCCTCTCTGACGACTTGTGCTGTCTGTCAAATAAATAAATAAATCTTAAAAAAAAAAAAAAAAAAAGACCATAGTGAGGGACACCTGGGTGGCTCAATCAGTTAAGCGTCTGCCTTTGGCTCAGGTCACAATCCCAGGGTCCTGGGATCGAGCCCTGCATGGGGCTCCCTGCTTGGAAGGGAGCCTGCTTCTCCCTCTTGCTCTGTCTACCAGTCCCCCTGCTTGTGCTCTCTCCCTCTCTCTTTGCCAAATAAATAAATAAATAAAATCTTTAAAAAGACAATAGTGAAAAATAATACCATGAAAAGTAATTTTCCCGCTCACTCCCGACCCCCCAGCCCCCCTCCCCAGAGGCAAACACAGTTACCTGTTTCCTGGGCACCTTGCTGGGGAGATTCTATGCACACAGTGAGCAAACACACATGTGAGGTTTTCACCCCTTTGTAACATAAATAGCTCCAAAGAATTGCACTGTTCTGCGCTCCCTGTATCTTGGATCTTGTTCCCGCATCAGCATCTCTACATCCGCCCTATTTCTAATGGCTGGGTGCCATCCCCTTAATGTTTAAATCGTCTCTCATCCCACCGGATGTCCTGGACAGAGCTATGAGCTTTGGAAGAGACAGTGCTTGCTGAGAGTCAAGGCCCAGGCCCTTGGGCATGGGACCCACCCATATGACCAGTGGAGACCAGTGTCCCACCCCAGCCCAGGGGCAGGCAAGTGTATGAGCAGTCCTAGCCAGGCAAGAGCCAGGAGGTGATGGGGGCAGGAGCCCACTGCCTCCACGCCCCGTTTGCTTGGCCACAGGGGGTGGTTGCTATGGCCCCACAGTCCCACCCAAGCCCCCTCCTCCACCCTTGGAGTCGGCCCTGGGTCTCCAGCCTTCTCTCCCTGCCCTGCAGCGGCTTGGATGAAAGAGAGGACTTCTCCCGGGACCATCCACTACTGTGGTGAGCCAGGGCCCGCAGGGTAGAGGGGGAGGGGGCCCGGGGTCTGGGGGCGGGGCTTGAGGGATGGCTGCCCCTGAAGCAGGCGGCCTCCGCCGCGGCTCACCGTCACCCTACCCGGCTGCCCAGCCTCCGCCAGCGAGGACAGCTGGACCGACAGTGAGGTGGACTCCTCCTGCTCCGGGCAGCCCATCCACCTGTGGCAGTTCCTCAAGGAGCTGCTGCTCAAGCCTCACAGCTACGGCCGTTTCATCCGGTGGCTCAACAAGGAGAAGGGTGAGTCGGGCCCTGGGCGGGGACCGGGACCGGGGACGGGGGCGGGCGCTGCTGGCCTCCTGGCGCCGGACACAGGGGAGGGCTGGGGATTGGGCAGAGAGGCTGCATGGCCCCCACCGTGGCCCTGAACTCCAGACACCGGGCCATCCGGGCCATCCGGGCCTGGCCCGGCGGGCTGTGTGCGTTCGCGTCCGAACCCGTCTCCTGGCCGCGCCCTGTCTTGTTTAGGACACCGGCTCCTCACGGTGCCCAGGACATACTAAGGCTGGGACTTGGACACAGTCTTTGCCTGCAGCACATTGTTAGCTTCACCGGGGAGACCGCTGGGGTCCAGCGAGAAACCCCATGCGAGCCGCATAGGCCGTATTAGACTTCCCCATAATCCCATTATAATGGGATTTTTTAATAGGTGAATTTAATTTTAATACTACTTTTATTTAATCTTCTATTATAAATTATTAAAATTTCAACATATAATCAATATAAAATTATTAATGAGATATTCTAAGTCTTCAAACTCTCATGTGTATTTTATCCTTACAGTCTATCTCAATCAGATTTGCCAGATTTCAAGTGCTCAAGGCCACATATTACCTCATTGGACAGGACTAGATGTGTGTGTGTGTGTGTGTGTGTGTGTGTGAGTGTTGGAAAACACTCAGAGTCAAGAAATCTGGGTTTTAGTCCCCATCCTGTCATCTGTAGCTAGGGGTACTGGGACCTCAGTCTTCTTATCTGGAAAAGGGACTGGGTCCATTCATCCAACAACCACTCATTGAATACTTCCTCTGTGCACACTTGCCTGGGCAACATTTATGGAGAATTAGTGTCCTCATGGTTTAGGGAGGATTTGGCTGCACCCCATCCTTAAGGGACCTGCAGTGTTGTGGGAAAGCTAGCCGTGAAAGGAGCTGGCCTACAGAGCATGGCAGGGCTGTGACAGGGTGGTGGGGGCAGCTGTGCCTTGGTCCAGGAGGACTTCACGGGGGCAGTGACTTGGGCTGAGTGGGAAGGATGAACGAGGCTAGAGGGGGGTAGAGAGAAGTTCCTACACAAGGGGCTGTAACCCTCGTGTATATTTGAAACTTAATGTGAGCCGGTCTTCAGGAATAGACCATGATAGACTTCCAGGGGAAGGAGATCAAGGGAGGGTGGGGTGATCTGGGAAGGCTTCCTGGAGGGGGTATGCTGACCTGGGTTTTTCCCAGGAGACCTGGGGTGTAAACCATGTAATAGTTCCTCTCAAGGGGCAGCTCCTTCACGCTCCACTATAAGCTCTTTCTGTCGCCACTCAAAAATCGTAGTCACTACAGCCCCCTCCACCAACTGGAGAAAGGGGACAGCTTCTTTTTTTTTTTTTTTTTTTAAGATTTTATTTATTTATCTGACAGACAGAGATCACAAGTAGGCAGAGAAGCAGGCAGAAAGAGAGGAGGAAGCAGGCTCCCTTCTAAGCAGAGATCCTGATGTGGGGCTCGATCCCAGGACCCTGGGATTATGACCTGAGCCGAAGGCAGAGGCTTTAACCTACTGAGCCATCCAGGTGCCCTAAGGGGACAGCTTCTAATGGTAGAATATGGCAGAGCCAGGCTTCAAACCCAGGTCAGCCGGGCTCCAAATCCTCTGAATGGATCTTACCAGAAAGGGCAGTACTAGCTTAAGTGTCTGAGGCTGGCAAAGAGGTCTTTCAGGCTTGGGAACTGCTGGGGAAGGCGGCCAGCGCGGGGGCAGTGGTGGGGGTGTGGATGACCTTGACAAATGAGGCGTGGGCACAACACAGAACCCTGAAGGGCTTTTGGATCAGGTGTACCAACCCCACAGCAGGAGCAGAGGCTGGCAGGGGCCAGGCCCTCAGGGCCCCAGATAACCCAACAACGGAGGACGCAGGCTCACCCTGCACTCAGGAGGTGGGGGACTCCAGGTAGCATTTCCCACTTTATTGGGCCCCGTGACCCACTCTGCACAGATGTCTTTGACCCTCACCGCAACCTTGGGAAGAGGTCTTATGCTCCCACTGCCCCCGGCCCCCCACCCTTCATTCTGGCCCTTGCTCCCAGTCAACACTGGCCCCCTTGGCTTTCTGAGTCTGACCTGTTGGTTTCGATCTTTTGCCCTCCTGCCATGCCCCCCTCTCCCTCAGGCATCTTCAAAATCGAGGACTCCGCCCAGGTGGCCCGGCTGTGGGGCATCCGCAAGAATCGGCCTGCCATGAACTACGACAAGCTGAGCCGCTCCATCCGCCAGTATTACAAGAAAGGCATCATCCGGAAGCCGGACATCTCCCAGCGCCTCGTCTACCAGTTTGTGCACCCCATCTGAGGGCTGCAGGCCAGGCCAGGCCTTAGGCAGGCCAGGCCTTAGGCCTGAAACTTGCCCTCACTAGTCCTCCCTCCTGCCCGCCCCTGCCTCTGCCGGAGCTGCAGGAGAGGGCAGTGGGCTGGCACTGGAGTCCAAGGTCAGGGAGGCGGCAGCCCACAGCTCCCAGGGGTCTAAGGGAGCTCTCTGGAGCCCAAGGGACCCCAGGGTGGCGGTGCTTCCTCCTTGGGTCTGACTGCTCACATGCCCGGTCCTCTGGAGGATGGAAGAAGGATCCAAGCCATCCTCAGTATTCACGGCTCCCCGGGGAAGGCTCTGACCCTTGGATTTCCAAAGAGGAGCCAGCCAAATGGCTAATGACTTAGCCAAGGCCACTCATAGTCCAGTGCTCCCTGCCACCCATTCTGCACCATGCTCGGCGTGGTGCTGGGACACGTCTGCCTCCTGCATTGGGAAGCCAGGGGTGCTCCTGGAAATGGGTAATAAAGATACTAGAGAACCAACACGGCAGTGTCTGTGCAGCAAGTGAGTGGCACAGCCCCGAGGCCACCAATTCTCAGAGTCATTGTGGTCACAGTGCCCTTGGGGTGGTCAAAGGAGGCTTCCTGGGGGAGGAGGCATTGAGCTGAGCCTACAAGGAAAGGGATCATTGATTGGTAGAAGCTGTGGGAGAGAGGCAGTGAGCCATCAATGGCCCTCATCTCCTCCCCTCCCAGGTGGGGGCCCAAAGGATGGAGCAGGACTGGAGCTGGAGGGGACTTGCAAGGGGACCCTGAGCCTCTGTCTCGGCTTGGCCAACCCCGGGGGCTCTGCGACGGGACAGCAGAGGTGCAGGGAGGGTGGGCTCTTCAGCCCCTGCCGTGGGACCCTGGCTCTGCAGCAGCAAACAGGATGGAAGAGAGGTTGGCTTGTTTGCGGTGTCCCTCTCTTGGCGGGAGTCACGGACCTCTGCGATGCCCCCTGTGAAGCACCCCACACAGATGGGGAGCGGTGGGGGTCAGAGTCCTGTGCACTGGGGTAGATGGGGACCTCCCACCCACTCTCCGGGAGGCAGCACGTCTCAGCCTCCTCACATTTGTTCAGCCAGCTCACGTGTCCTGAGTACCGAATACATACTTGGTGCTTGCACTGGTTTTCTGTCATTAACCTTCCCAACAAAACTGTGAGCTGGGGGCTACCCTGCTGTTCTGCAGACGATGAAACAGGCTCAGAGCCGTGAAGTGACTTACTCAGAGTCACACAGCCAATCGGTGGCAGAACCAAACACTGAACCCACAGGACAGTGCTTTCTCTGCCCCTCCACGCCTCTTGCTCTGTGACTGGTCAGCACTTTTTGCCCCCATAACCCTCCACTTCTGATGCCAGGCTCCCAAGAGACGGGACTGGGAGCCAGTCAGTGCTGCCCAGGCCACTGAGGGTTAAATGCTGCCCCATATTGCTGCCTTCTGCCCCCAGCAATTTTATTGTCTCCAGAAGAAAGTTTACTCCTGGCAGTGAGCAAACAACAGCTTGGCATCTGTCAGTTGGGACTGGGACAGGACTAGGGGGCCCTGCCCCAGGCCTGTGCCTCTCTGGGTCCCCGGCTGTCTGCCTCCTCCCAGGGAGGGGGCCCACTGGGACCCTGGCCAGCACTCAGCTCAGCTCTGCTAAACTGGTTTTGTCTCCAGCCTTCCTGCCCTGCCCCCAAGCGGAGTCCCCCAGGAGCCACCTGCTGGCGTGCCCCCAGCTGGACCTGGGCCTGGAGCAGCCTGGGATCTCAGGCTGGGGCTGGGAGGGAGGAGAGGAAAGGGGACTCATGGCTAGGAGTGGGGAGCCGGAGCTCCTCCAGAAAGGGGCGTCTGGGGGAGTGGGGTGAGGCACCCTCCTTGCTGTTGTAGCTTCTCCAAGAGGCACACAACTCCTTGGCCAGTGCACACCCATCCACGGACACCTCATGTGCCAACAGCAAACTCCCGATCCCGCCTCTTCCCCTGCACATCTGCCCGTCAGAGCCCCATCGGCCCAGGTATTCCCCAACAGGCCTGCAGGGCCCCTGCACAAATAAGGCAACCTGACTCTCAGGGTCGGGGGATCGAGACCCTTGTGGGGTTCTGCACTCAGCGGGGAGTCTGCTTCTCCCCCTCCCTCTCCATTTGCTCCCTCTCCCTCCCCCACCGCTGTCTCTCAAATAAATAAATAAATAAATAAATAAATAAAATCTTTTTTAAAAAGAAAAATTAAAACCTATTTGGGGGTTCACCCTTGAACTGTGAGTTTGGGACCCCGAATGCCCCCAGCGCTCTTGGTCAGTGCTCATCCCTCAGGCACACAGAACCCTGGGGCCATGGCCTCAGGAGTCTCAGAGACCATCCGTCACCCACCCTGCGCAGACAGGGCTCAGGGTCCTGGAAGGTAAAAGACCCAGCCCTCGGTCCTTCTGCGCATTGGCGGTCAGCCGGTCATGCTGGGCGCCACCTCCCTGACAGGCCTCCCCACCACAGATAGCTCTAGAGAGTTCGGAAGACACACAAGACTCAAGAGGACCACGTCCAGCCAGGTTGACACAGTTCTGGATTTTATCCACAGTCATACAATCACAACTGAGAGAGATATATTTGTATTTATAGACCTTTAAATTACACGATCATGTACAAAACATGTGCATTGCTGAGACCACAGCACTTCTCGGAGGGTCACAAGTGTCGGACTAATGGAGTCAGGGAGCCTAGGGCAGCAGGTGGCGGGCGGCAGGGCAGCCCCGGCCCCTGGCAGAGCCAGGCCGCAGAATGGTGGTTAACTGGGAACCAAACACACGAGTCGCCGAGCCCCACGGAGCGGGCCCGTGCAGCATTGAGGGTGCAGGGAGGCGGCTACGAGAGGTGGCGGTCACAGAGAGGGGCGCGGCCCTCCCACATGGTGGTGAGTACCCGGACACCAGCACTGACAGGTGGGGCTGAGCCCCTAGAGCTTAGGGCTGGGGGGGACCGCTGGGTGGGAGACCATCCCACTCCGGGGTCCTGAGGAACCTGGGACCGAGAGACAGTGGTCCCAAACCGGGCCATGGAGGTGGTTGCTCAGAAAGAATGGGATTTCAAGTCCCTGCCCCGGAGTGGGCAGCTGGAGCACTGAGGGGGCAGGCCTGGGGTCCAACTAGGGCCACAGACCCTCCCCCGGTGCTAGAAAGCCACTGGCATGGAGAGAGGGAACCCAGGCCCCAAGGTGTGGCTGTACCAGCTTCCTGCCCTCCAAGGGTACGTACATGGTGAAGGTCAAAGGCCCCCAACCTCAACTCCCACCTGGAGGAGAAGCTGCAGAGGCTTTTGGTCTAGAGTTGGGAGGGCAGAGAGCTTCCGAAATCTTGCTTTGGGCTCTGAGAGGCCTAGGGCAGATCTCAGGCGGCAGCAGATGCCCAGAGAGCAGACAGTAACAGGAAACGGGGGTCCGGGGAGGGGGCTGCAGTCTGCCTGTCCCTGGGGGTGCCATCGTCCTCACCCTCAAACTCCCCTGGCCCCCTGACTGAGGCCTGGCCACCTCAGGCACCCCCCAACCCCCTCCAGAGTCTGCCAGGATCCTCTGTGCACACATGAATGAGGTCAGGGCCTGGAGACCATCAGTGGAGCACTGGGGGAAGAAGCAGGGAGCAAAAGAGGACTGAGGGGGGCCAGAAGGGCTGGGGTATCACACTGTCTTTACCTGGAGGTCCGGTGGCCAGGTGCTGAGGAAGGGGGTATGTAGGGTGTCTGCAGTCCTGAGGCCCAGAAGCTCTCTTTGAGCAACAAGAAGTTCCAGGGCCTCACCCCAGAGGTTCCTGAAAGACTCCTCTTTCCAGCCAACCCTCCCCTCACCCCCTTGAGCTTTTGTCCTGCCCTGGTCTTCTTCCCAAACCTCCCGGGGCTCACATATGTGGGAGAAGTTGGAACGAGGTACTACGACTCGGTAACCCAGCAGTGCTTTTCTTCTCCCACCCCAAGAAACACCCTGGCTCTGGGCAGGCCCTTGGCCCCCTCCCCCCTCCCGACCCTCCCCCGAAAAATCCTTTAACTGAGACCCAGGCCTAGAGATACGGAAGGGCTGTCAGCCAGGGGGAAAGCTGCTCCAGGGGCAAGAGCTGGGTGGGGAGGAAGGGACAAGAAGGAAAGACATGGGACTGTCCTGCTCCGCAGAGCCTCGGTGCCTCCCTCCTGCCAAAGCCAAGTCTTTCCCAGGGGCTCTACAGGGTTTCTGATGGTCCCAGGTTGGAGACTCCTTTGGGCCTTGCCCTGTCTTCTTGGGAAGGCCAGAGAAGGGGAAAGAGGGATGGGAGACCACAAGGCTGTCTCCCGGAGTCTGGCTGAACCTGGTGAGTCTGTGGTTTTAGATGCCCATGGAGGGAAGGCAGGCAGGCAAGGTGCCCTCCTCCCCAGGAAATAGGAGGAGGTTGCTACTGTTGCTGGCTTTGCCCTGGGCTTTGAGGCCTCTCCCCCTGCCTGAGGACTTAGGAGAGGGGGGCAGGGTTTCTGCAAGTGACCGCAGGGTATGTCTCTAAGAGCCTGGCCCCAAATTGCTAACAGCTGGAAAAAAGGGCCCCAGCAGGGTCTTGGTCCCTCAGCTGAGCTGGCGTTGGGAGGACTGAGGGCCTGCCCCCTTCACTCACCCTCCTACACACCGGTGACACTGTCATCAACTCCAGCTCTCTCCTTATCATGTCTGGGGGAGTCTAGGGATCCCGGGAAAAGTCTATGGGAAAAGAGAGAGACCGTTGCTCCTCCAGCCCCACCAGTCCTTAGGAGTGAGACCAGGAGAAGAAGGGTACTCCTCAGGGCAAAACGGAAGGCTAAAACTAGGAGGCCCCCCCACCTTCTCTGGGGTCTGGAGGGGAAGCTTTGACAGCAGGGTGGTGGAGGGAGGGGAGCATAGTGGGGCAGAAGAAAGAGGTCAGAAAACCAGGCCCAGAGAAGAGGAGGGGGACAGAGGCTGGCAGCCTGGGTTTGGGGGGAAGGGGTGGGAAGCATATTCTGTAGGGAGTGAGGCAGAGAGAAGGGTCAAGGAGACGACCCTCAGGGTTTGGGAAACTCTTTGGTGGGATCTGAAGAGCAAATGTTGTAATGTCTCTTTTGGGCTAAATACTAAGACCCTCACCTACCCTGGGGCCATCACCCCGAGTCCCACCACCCTGGCCTCCAGGCGACCCTGCAAATGCTTCTGTCTCTGTATTTTTTGTTTTGTTCTGTTTTGACTTTTAAAAAAATAAAAGCTTGATCGGAAAATATGTCTGGAACTCTATGGCGAGGGAAGAGGGACGAGAGAGAGTAGGGAGAGGAGGCAGTGGACGAGGAGTGAGGGGTGGCGTGGAGGGGAGGAGGGCAGCTAGATGGCCTCCACGTAGTTGGCGGGATAGAGACCCAGCTGCCCACTGTCCAGCCGCCCGCGGCACCATCCCTGCTCGTCCTCCTCGCCCAGCTTGGTGAGCTCATCTCCTAGGAAGGGGACACAAAGGAGCGCGTCGACGGGGGCTCAGGGAGGGCTACCCACTCCCCCACAATGCTAGTCAGCTCTCCGATACTAATATTCTGGGCCTATCCCAAGGCCCTTCCAGGACTGCCCCAACGCCTGCCCTGGAGACCAGCCCCAGCCACACCCCGACACCCACGTGCTACCCCGGGCCAAACGCCTTATCTGGGTCTGTGGCCCTGTCCGCTCCCTACTCCCCAAGCCCAGGCCCAGCCCTGGCTTCCTTTTCCGGGTCTTATCCCTTCTGCTAGCAGCCCCCTGCCTCAGACACCGCCCCCCACCCCATTTCCGTGTCCTACTCCAGGTTTGGTCGCGCCCACGCACCAGGCCCCGCCCCCAGCCGCTTTCCCGGCAAATCAAGGCATCCCCTGCCCTTAGGCCCCGCCCCTTCCCGCCCACCATACCGGCCTTGAAGCTGAGCTCATCCTGCTCCTGGCCGTCGTAGTCATAGAGTGCCCGCACACGCACCCCCTTGGCGTCGTCCTCGAAGGGGTTGGAGCCCCCATTGGCCTCACTGCCCCCGAACGGGTTCCCGCTCTCGTCGTCTGACCACTCGGTGGCATAAGTCTGGCCCCTGTCGTAGCTGCTAACGCTGAGACGCAAGGAGAGGACCCAGCGTGAACTGCCACTCCCCTTGCCCCTCGCGCTAACCCCCTCCTGCCAGTCAGACATCTGGCCCCAAATCCCACCGAGGCTGGTGCAGGGATGGGTCCTGTAAGAGGGGGTTCCAAGCCAGTGATCCTCACTGACAGCTCACTGGACAAATGTGAGGCAGGACAGTTAGCATTATTACCCAGTCCTTGAGTTGGGATGCTGAAAGGGACCCCTGAGAACATCTGACCCCTCATCTGAGAAGGGCACCTAGTGGTTAAGCAGCTTGACCTCTTGGACATCACATCCTGGCTCTGAGGCTTACTTACTAGCCTTGTGCCCTTGGGCAAGTCACTTAATCTCTCCGGGTTTCAGTTTCTCCATCTGCAAAATGGGACGCTTTACACACTGCTCAGAGTGTCGGGAGGCTTCGATGAGTTAATATATGGAAAACGTTTACAACGTGCCTGGCACCGTGTAGGTACTCGAGGTTGATGTGATTTAGACCATGTCTTGTCTTCTGAGGTAAAACTCATCTCCTGGGGTATGTGGGCCCCTCTGGCCCCAGGAAGCTCTGCAGGAGGCACTCACCTGCCACGGTCTCCAGCCTGGGATGTGGTCTCCACCACTCCAGTGGCGTTGGTCAGGGTCGCCCCCTCTGCCTTCTTGGGCTGCTTCTCTTTCTTGGTGGCAGTGTGAGGAAGGTCTGGGTTCCACTCCTGGTGGGCACCAGGGGAGCAGTGAGGCAGGGGGCTGCCCCCTGAGGTCCCTTCCAGGCTTTTCCGAACTTCCCTTCCCCATCCCCACAACTCCTCACCTCAAACTGGGGCCAGTTCATGGGCATGCCGGGGCCGCTGGTGCTGCGGAACCACCGGAGGTCATCCTGGGCGTCTGCCCCCCGGATGGCCTGCTCCAGCTCCCGGTACACGTGGACATAGCTGTGTGCGGGGGAGATGGGGAATTGGGTGGGGGGCGAGATGCACCGTGGCCCCTTCTTGTCCTCGCTGAGGCCAGAGGGAGCCCATTCAGGGGACCAGGGTGCTGGTAGGCCCCCCAGCTAGGGATCAGGTGGGCTGGTCCAGGAGTAATCCCCTTCCCTATCCCTGCCTTAGCCACTACCCCATTCTTCCAGAGCAACATTCACTGTTTCTCTCATGCCTAGTCCGCCTCGGCTGGTACCCAGGCAGCCACTATCTTTGGAGCCTTTTCCTTCTCTGCCCCTGTTGCTCTTACCCTTCCTGTCCTGATACCACAGTGCCCAGGGCGCCTTGCACACTACTTCCACCCTCGGCCATCCATGCCCACACCCACCACGTCCCCACGCCCAGCCACCTGCTATTCTCGGCCAGGTTGAGGTGGCGTTTGATGTCCAGCAGCACCTCCTTGAGGAAGACCAGCCGCTTCTCCTCGAACTGCTGGCACTGCTCGAACACCTGCTCCATGCTCTCCATGTACTGGGGCGTGGTCTTGCCCACGTCATCCAGCACCTTCTCATACTTCTCCTGGGTCTGTGGGCAACGGAGCAAAGGAAGGGTGAGACCCAGGCCTGCAGCTCCCTGCTGCCACCCACTCCAAGGGGGCTCTCAGCCGCCAGGCCCTGGGGCACCTTCTGTACGTCCTGCTTGCACTTGTCCACTTTGTCCTGCAACTTCTTCTGCTGTTCAGGCGTGACCGACTGCTCCGTCTTGCTATTCATCTCCCGCGTCATGGCCAGCTTCTCCTCCTTGCAGGCCAGATGGTAGGCCTTCTTGGCTGCCTCTAGCTGTGGGGCGGAGGGAACAGGAGGGAGAGCTCTCACTTAGGCGCGGGAACATATCGGGCCCTCGTCAAGGCCTCCCACCTGCCGGGGGGTGGGAGCACAGATTCAGAAGAGGCAGAAGGGATGTAGGACCCGGCTCCAGGTATCTGGGAGCCGTGCCCACCCATCTGTGGATGTTTCCCTGCGTGGCGCTGCCTGCTGCCTCCACGGGCACCCTCCCGTCAGGTCCTGCTGTGCCTGCCCCATGTGGCTATTTCAGCCAGCAAGGCAGTGCTGCGCCCCCATAGGCACAACCCCAGCGGGGGATGTCCTGCCCACTCCCTCTGTCAGCTCGCCCCCTCCGATCAGACTGCCCCCAGTCCGCCAAGCTCAGCTGCCCACCCTCGCCCCATCGGCAGCGGCCACCCCCTGGGCACCTCCTTCATCTTCTTGGCCCAGGGTTTCTGGGCCTTGCGGAAGCCGTCTTCAGCCTCCTTGGTTTCCTTGAAGCCGCCCATGATCTGCTTGTGATAGGCGTCCTTCTGCCAGTTCTTGACCTTCTCCAGGTCCTCGTTCAGCAGGTTGTTCTTCACTTCCTGATGCAATTCGCTCACCTTGTCCGCCTCCGTCATGATGGCCCCCCAGGCTCGCTCCAGGCTGCCATACTGTGGCCCTGAGGAAATGGTCATGGGGTGATGAGGCCCTCATCACCCACTGCCCAGGGGCTCCCCCATGCTTCCTTTCTCCCAGGCTTTCTCTGTACTTGCCATGCCCGCAGAAATGCCCTCCCCAGCTCTCTTTACAGTTTTATCTGTCCTTCAGGGCCCACATACCTCCTCCAGGAAGACTTCCCTGACTGCTCTGCTCTCACACCCCACAGCATGCAGCCCTCACTGAATTCTTCGTACAGCATCTGCCTCTGTGACCACTCCCTAGCTCCCCTGTCAGCTGGTGAGCCCCATGGGGGGCAGCCTGGACCCCGCAAGTCCTCACAAGCCCAGTACAGCACCAAGCACACAGTAAGCGCTTCAGGAATGTTGACTGAGCATAAAACTGAGGAAGCAGCTGGTGACAGATGCCAGGAGGCCACTGGGACCAGACATTCCACAGTCGTTTGTTGGTCTGTATATTGGGGATCAGCTCTGTGCCAGGCACTATGTGGGGGAGTACCAGGCTCAGCCCCTGCCCTGGGAGTTCGGGTCTCGTGGAAGAAAAAAAAAATTTAACAATTACACGGAAACCCCAACCTGAAGTGTTCCAGATCAAAGAATCGAGAGCCAAGACGACTAAATGGTCTGGATTCTGGATTGCCTTCTGGACCAGCACAATTGCTATAATAAAGTTTGCATATGGACCATATTAAATGTCCGGAGTTTGATCGCTGAACTATGGTTATGTAAACAAATGTTCTTATTCTTGGGAGCTACGCGAAGGATTTAGGGTAAAGTGGCAGGTCTCCCACTTAAATGGTTCAGAAAAACACTGGCATCGAAGAAAGAGGGACTGGGAAACAATGTGGGAAAACAGGTTCCCTGGTGAATCTGGTTGAAGACCGTGTAGTTGTCGTCAAGATTCTTGCAACTTTTCTCTAAATTAAAATTATATGGAAATAAAAGGTTTGTCTGGGTTTGTTTTGTCTTTTTAATCCAACCTAAAATTGTACAAAGTCGAGTTGAACAGGGACAGGGAGACCTGGCTGGGTGTGGGAAGGTCAGAGCGCGGGGGTGGGGACGGTGCCTTCAAAGGCCCCGTGGCTGGAAGGGTGCGGGTGCATCCGGGCGGCAGGGCGCTCCCGGGTCCCAGACTGGAGGCAGCCGGAGAGGGCCGGGGCGATGCGCCCGGGGTGGGCATGGGGGCACCTTTCTCGATGAGCTGGCGCCAGCGCTTGGCCCAGTCGGTGAGCTGCTGCGCGTACGCCTTCTCGATCTTGGCGCGCTCCTGCACGCAGTTCATCAGGTCGTTACACAGGCGGTGGCCGTCATCGATGCGCTTCACCGTCCGCTTGTAGTTCCCCACCTGGCGGCCAAGGAGCGAGCACGACTCCCGCGGGCTCCCCGTCTCCCCCCGCTACCCCAAGCCGGCCAGGACGCCACGTCCTGCAGGGGGCGCCCGCCGCATCCATCTTCCCCCGCCCTTCCCCGCCGCACCGCGCCGCCCTGCGGGAACGCACCGGGGGCTCCCCCCACTCTCAATTTTGGGGGCCCCAGCGCCCTGCATCACACCCGACGGTCTATACACTCCCTCACCCCACTTGACACATAACTTCCTCGCTGCCACAAAGCGCAAGATTTTTATAATTTGGACCCAGACTAGAATGAATTATTCATTTTGTTCTTGTGAGTTAAATATATCATATTTATAGAGTCATGTAAGTGTTGAGCTGAGCTGCAGCTTCTTGACATAATATTATGTTTTGTAGACACCTCATTAAACACTTATTAATATAGGTTTGGCAGTTTTCGCTTTGAGTTTTGGAAGCCAATCGAAAACAATTTTATTTCTTGGTCTCAAAGAGTTTGGGAGGCTCCTGAAATGCTGGCTTCTAGGCTTGTCGCCACCTCTTTGTTGCTGTGGGGCTTCTGGAATGCACACCACAGGGGTGGGCCGGGGAGCCCCTGTGAAAGGGTAAAGCCGGGGTCTGAGGTGCAGGGGTCTGAGAGCAGATGGAGAGGAGGAGCCTCACCCACATCTAGAAACTCTGCAGGATCTCTCCAGGGGCAGCCGTGGAGCAGTCATCTTCCCCCATCTCATGGAACACCAAGGCCTTTGGAGGGACCCAAGGGGCTAGGGAGCAAGGCCTGAGGTTGTGAGGGGAGGTGAGGGGAGCCTGGACCGCCACAGGAGCTGTCTCACCTCCCAGAAGCTGTCAGTGGTCTCCTCTGGAGCTAGTGAGGCCTCGTCGTAGGAGCCAGACATGGTGTAACCGTGGGGGGGTAGGGACAGGCAGGTGTGCGCTGGTGGTCAGCAGGCGGAGCTGCTCATGCGCTGGGAGAGTAGAAGAGAGATCCCTGGAGGGGGGGGAAGGGCCGCCACGTGCCCCATTCCAGGCCTGCGGGCCCCTGCCCCCATGTGCTGTGGGGATGAGGGCTCCACAGGCCTAAGCCTTGCACTGGGTTGGGGACTTCCCACCGGGGTAATCCCAAGAGTAAGCTCTTAGCACCCCTTGTGCGCATCCCCCATCCCTCCTCCATGAGCCTTTCACCCCACAACTTCTCCCTCCCTTCTCCCCCTGATCCATTCCCCAGCTCCAGAGTGACAGCCGCCCCAGCCACAACTGTCTTGGGCTCCGGGACTCAGCTAAATTAAAGGCATGCAATCACGTATTTGCTACATACGAGCTTGCAGTCTGTCTCACAGACACATGCTGCTCCTCAAAGCCAGCAAGCAGCCTAATCATTATGCACGTCCTGCACTCCCTCCCCAGGGCCTGGCACCCCACAGAGCCCCACTGGGGCTCAGCGAACCCCAGCTGCCTTGTCAATCTGCCCTTCTTCCCACTGCCCCTCACCCTGATCTGGCTGAACCCTTGCACTGGACCCAAAATACCCTCCTCAGCTCTCCCACCCAACAGAGTCCCCAACCTCAGCCCCTAGAACCTTCCCAGATGCCCCACCTGGAGCCTGGACCCACATTCCCTGGGAAGCCGGCTGCAGGGCCCGCCTCCCATCTCTGGCTGGCCCAGGCCCCTACAAGTCCTTTTGGCTGCTCTGGCACCCAGCCTTCAAAGCCTCTGTTAGCCACTTACGTGTCTCCTTAAAGAGTCCCAAACATGTGGCTTCCTGGCCTACGGGTCAGACCACCGTGATCTGTGTGAGCACTGGAGCGGCTCTGCGTGGCCTGGATCTGTCGGCAGGCATCACAGCGGTCCAATCTAGGCCATGGGCTGCCCCAGGGCTGGGGACGCTGCCCTTCTCCCATCCCCTACCCAAGCCTTGCTGCCAACCCCTCCCCCAACCCCAGCAAGAATGGCTCAGTAGTCAGGAGACAGGACCCAGAGGGGCAGGGACCTGGTCGTCAAAGGGGCAGTGAGGCCAGGCTGGGAATGACCCCATGAATACCTGCCAGCCTTGAGGCAGAGGACAACAGGGGCTGGCTCCCTGTCTCTGCACTGCTCAGGGACGACACATCCTATCCCATGAGGATACTGGGGGAGGGCTGGCCTCAGCAAACTTCAGGGACCCCAACCTGGGGTCCGGGGGATGCTCAGCCCTTCCAGTGGCTCATCTTCAGGCTCAGGGAGCAGATCATGAAGATCCTTGGTCAAGGATATCCCTCCCTTCTCTGGTCTCAGTCCCCCATCTGTCCAGGGGCTAGTACCATTTTCGCAGTAATAACCCATTTCTGCCTTCTCCTTGCTCCTCCCGGGCCCTAAATATATCCCTTTCCACTTTGCAAAACCTCAGACAAACTTTCCCACAAACTCCTGCACAGAACCCTTAAATCATAATGAACTGTGCTCTTTGGATCCAAATAACGCAAGCTGTCTGCGGGCTGGCGGTAGGGGCAGGAGGGGGTGGAGGGTAGGGACAGACCCTCATGAGAGTGGGAGTCAAACCCACCCTAGGCAGCAGGGAAGTGACTTGACAAGCCTTGATGGGAGGGGCGGGGGTGTGTCTTCTCTCCCCACTACAGAGGCTCACCTCCCTCACCCTGCAGTGCCTCTCCTGGGAATTCACCTTCCAGCCAGTGGGGCCAACTGACGCTGCCTGATTCCATTTGCTGCAGCACTGCTTGTAAAAGCCAAAGGCTGGAAACATCCCGGCTGCCCATCCAGGGGACTGCTTAAGTAAATTCTGGTGCAGCTGGGCAACAGAACGCTCTGGTCCTGACTGGAGCCCTCCCCAAGCCATGACGCTGAGACAAAAGGAGCAGGGTGCAGAACAGGAAGACTTTGGATGTTTCCATTTGTACAGGGGGGGCAATATACAAACATGAACACTCTGGAAAGCCAGTAGCGGAGGCTGCCTTCGGGGAGCTGGGTGGCTGGGGGATGTGATGGGAAGGAGATTTGTCACCGTTGGTCTTTTACGCCTTTTAAATTTTGCTTTGTGTACATAAACTGCAGTTTTTATAACCCCCTGGCCTGCGTTGAGGGAGCTGGGAGCTCGGACCGAGAGTACACTGACACAAAGGGGACCATGCAGCTAAGCCCTGGGGTGTCAGACAATCTGGGAATGCACTAGGGCAGAGACCAATCTCCACTCTGTCCAGACCCAGATGGGACTTGCTGGGGCCCCTTCCTCAGTGCGGGCAAGTCACGGGTCTCTGGGGTCCCAGCTGGGGTAGCACATGTCGCTCTCACCTTGGGGGTCCCCGCTCGGTCACCAAACTGCCGCGTGACCTTAGGCGATTCACATGACTGTGACAGGCCTCACTGTGAAATGAGGATGCTAATGCAAGGACCGGAGGAAACGGTGAGGGTCCAGGCTGGACCCGCACAGAGACAGGCGCAGGAAGACAGGCAGGGAGCCTCAGGGAGAGGATGAGGGAGGGGGCGTGTGGACCCCCAGCACCACCTGCCAGACTCACCTCCAGCCCTGTGCCTGCCTTCTGCAAACCGGCCTCACCCCCCTACCCTGGGCGCCGGGGGGAGGTTTCACTCTGGTCCAATGCCAGGTCCCTCCTGAATGGTGGTCACAGCCGCCCTCACTGAAAACGCAGCTTCTCTCAGAGTCAGGAAGCTGGTATGGCCAGAATCTGCCATGCCCAAGAACGAGCCTGACACACTCTGAGCAGAACCCATCAAATGGGCACGGCAACGTTCAGACTTTCTCCCCGGTGCTTATAAAGCAGTTGCGACCCTGCGAGCCCTTTATAGTTGAGAATAACAACTGGCATTTATGGAGCACAGACTTGGTGCCAAGGACTGTCCAAGTGTCTTAACTCATCAAATCCTGCCAGGACCCCTACACAGCAGGTGCCACTTCACCCCCACGTTATCTCAGAGAGGGCCCAGAGGCTGGGACGTGACTGAAAGAGCTTGTCAGCTCTCGTTATTGATTTGTCACCGCTACTGTAGTCGTGGTGGCTGTCCCACAGTGGGCGGGCGGGGCCCGGGGTGCTGTTCTGGTAGAGGGGGGCATGGGCTCTGCTCCAGCCCCACCACTTCCTGATGGGATCTCAGTCAAGTCCTGTCATGGGGTCTCGGTTTTCCAACTCATTGGATGGAAAAACAATATTTCAGTCTCATGTGACACTCAAATGGTAAAAGGCAATTATTGAAAAATACAGACCATTTATGGAAGTGTGAAGTTTGCACATTGGCCTTGACCTTTTGGAGAAAGGAGCCCCAGGGTGAAAAGCGTCCCTCCTCCGGGCCCCAGGCTTCCTGCCAGCTGCCTCTAAAATGCCCCTGGAAGGCAGGGGCCTGGGGTGTGTTCTCTCGGCCCCTGGCTTGAAGAAGGGACAGAGGAATTAAGAGCAGGGGCCCAGAAAGGGCGGGCCAGCTGTGGACAAAGGCGGCCTGTGGATTCCTGCAGCATGCACGAGTCACTATCTATCACAGGAGCATGTCCCCCCCACACCACCACCCAACCCATCAGCAGATCCTGGGCCGAGTCACTATCGATCACAGGAGCATGTCCCCCCCCCCCCCCACACATACACACCACCACCCAACCCATCAGCAGATCCTGGGCCCTGCTCTCAACCACCTGGTCCCAGCCCCATCACTCTCCTGTAAAGTCTTCTCAGAGACTTTCCTGCCTCCAACCTTGTGTCCCTCAGCCCTGCCCCAACTCCAGTCTGTTCCCTGCCGCAACAACCAGAGGGACACAGGTAATACCTAAGTCAGATCCCACCACTACTCTACTTGGAATCCTCTCATGACTCCTCATTTCCTCCAAGAAAAAGTCTAATCCCTTCCCAGGGGCCCCTGTATCTCCTCCAGCTCCACTGACCTCCTTGCTGCTCTAACCCCAGGGCCTTTGCACTTGATAGAAGTGCCTCCCTGCCCTGAATTTCTATGTCTGCTTGAATGTCCTAACCTCCCTGCGTTTCACTTGGCACTCTTTTCCTACCCCCAGCACTCTCCAGTCTCCCCTTCCTTGCTTTATAATTCTTCACAGCACGTATTACCATATGCCAGGCTCCCAACCCTCAAGAATTCATCATGTTTGTGTCTTCCTTTCTCACTGTAATGTCAACTTGCTAAGGTTAGTAGTTTTTGTCTGTCTGGTTCTCTGCTGTATTTTCAGCATCCAGGGCCTGGCATATAGTTAAATGCACAGTACATTTTTGGTGAATGAATGAATGCCAAGCACCTTCTGGAACACTCATTCATTAAATAGTAGAAATACTGAATATTGTCCCTCAGAGCCCAAAACAAAGTCACCTGCACAATATTCAAAAAATGTTGATAATGATGGTGATACAACCAAAAGCCAGAAGTTCACCCAGATCCTACCTGTCCTCTGTTCTCAGGCCCCCTGCTTCTCTGGACTTCCCCTTCCTCTCCTCTTGGCCAATTCTCAGGTCCAGTTCCAGGGTGTCCTCCTCCTTGATCCCCCATGACGATTCTGCTCTCAGTGGGGAGCCTTCCCTCCTCAGGGATCCGCAGCACACAGAACAGGCTGTTATATTAACCCCCCTCCTCACTCTCCCTTTACATCACCTATGACAGCCATTTCTGAGTACCTGCTACGTGCCAGCCTCTTTGTACCCTTCATCTCTACTCCTCACGACAGCCTACTGAGATGGGCAGTGACCTCCCTGTCTTCTAGTGGGGGAAGTCCTTCCTCTGCCCCCCACCAGGCACCCAGTGCAGAATCAGCCCTCCTGGCCTAAGACATTCTCCCAAGGGAATGGCTCGGGTCAAACCCAGGCAGGGCCATGGGAAGCCAGAGCTGCCTCACCCTCACCCAGGTCCCACAAACATTCCCAGCAGCAGCCCCGCTCCTTATGTTACCCTGAGATGGATGGGCTCGCTGCGCCTGACTTGGGGCCACTCCAGGACTCTAACCAGCCTTGGCTGGGGCCGCAGATGCCCGAAGAAGGATCAAGGTCAGCTATAAGGTGCTGTCCTTCCACCCCTCCGTGTGATGCATACCCCCTCCTCATTCCAGTTTCTGCTGCTTTGCTCAAGCCTTCCCCCCTGCCTGGGGTGCATGCTGTCCTATCACTCACCTCTCCCCAAAATAAAATAACCCTGCTTCCCTTCAAGGGCCAACTCAGTTCTACCTCCTCCAAGAAGCCCTCCCTGAATACCACAGTCCTCACCTACTTCCCCCTCTACACCCTGGTGCAGTTCTTAGTCACACCTGCCACGAACCACATCTCACTGGTTCCCACCCAACAAATAGAGAAAATCCTGCTACATTAGCACAGCAGTTGAGAGTGCTGCTTGTCGGCGGGGGTGGGGGGGTGTGGGGGGTGGGGGCAGACAGAAGGATGGAGCTCAAATCCCAGCCTGGCCAGCTGTGCGACCTTGTAAGTTGCTTAAACGCTCTGTGCCTCAGTTTCCCCATTGGCAAAATGAAGGCGAGAATACCAGCCCATGGGGTTATTGTGAAATGAGTGCCTGGTGTTTTAAGAGGCACCGTGTTACTATTAGTGTTATTATCAGTATTAGTAGTATTAGTATTAGTATTTAGTATCAGAGGTATTTTTACCTTCAGAGCTTTTAAAGCAGGAAACGTTTAGTTTATCTCTCTGGATGACTTCACACCCCCTTTTCCTCTCTTTGGGCCAATGGCCCCAGAGACCTTTGCTAAAGACTGACTTGTGTCCCCTCCAGATTCATATGTTAATCTCTTGCCCCTGCCCCAGTGGGACCGTATTTGGAGACAGGGCTTTTAGGAGATGATTCAAGGTAAATGACGTTGGAAGGGCAGGGTCCCAATCTCATAGGACAGGTGTCCTTACAAGAAGAGGAAGGGAGAGATTCTTCCTGTCTCCCTCTGTGCACATACTGAGGGAAGTCCATGTGAGGACCCAGCGAGAAGGCATCCGTCCGCAAGCCGGGAAGTAAGGCCTCACCAGGAACCCAACAGGCCAGCACCTTGACCCTGGACTTCCAGCCTCTGGAACTCTGGGAATAAATAGCCAGTGTTCATGCCACCCAGTCTATGGTGTTCTGTCCTGGCCACCTGAGCTGAGATTCCGTTCCGAGACCTTGGGCCTCCTCTGGGACCCCCAGGTCTCCAGGTGTCCTGTGAAAAAAAGACCCCAGGCCTGCCTTCCTTTCACCTTCTCTTTGGCTGTAAAATCTCTTCTAAGGTAAGGTCCATGTGGGAGTCCCCAAGGGCCCTCCCTTCAGGGATGACGCCCCAGGTAGGGAGGAAGGAAGACGATGGAAACACAAATGGGATAACTTGGGGTTGGGGCAGAGCCTGGGTCTCCACTGATGCTGGAGGGCCCCAGAGAGGCTCAGGGCTGGGGGTACCAGGTTGGCTCATCCTTACTGGAAAATGGTTAAAGCCAATGGGTAAAGCCATTCCATCTCTCCAATCATATCCTTGTCTCCAGGTCCACCTCTTGGGGAGCCCAAATGTAATACCACAGATGAGGGTGCAGGAGTGGGAGCTGGCAATACCCACGCCCCTGGCCTCTCTGTCCTGGGTGCATCGCTCTCCTTGAGATCAGTCATCCCACACACGGCTCGTCTGGAAGAGTGGGTCCTGTCCTGAGCCCACTGCCTACTGGAGGACAGGGCCCAAGTCTGCCTGCTCTGAGGGGGGCCCCCTGAGGGCTGCACAGCTTGCTTTCCCAGTGTCATTGAACTCTGGGATGAATTCTGACCTAGAGGAAGGTGGCCCGTGTCTTTGTGGCACCGGGGGTGGAATGAGAGCCGCTCCCCTTCTTCCACTTCCTGGCCAGGTAGGGGGAGGCCAGCCCCAGCTGTATTCGGTGACCCCAGCAGTGCACGCATGACAGAAAACAGCCCCCCAACCCCCACCACAGCCTCACGGAGCTGATATTCTGGAAGGGCTGGACAGACAAGAAACCAGATGAATAAGGAAATGGTCAGGTGTGTCAGATGGTGACGAATGCAGTGGAGAGCAAGGCAGGGAAGGGGACAAGCGACCGTGGTCGCTAGCAGTCATGCTCTTTCAGCCAGGGCAGTCAGAGAAGGCCACTGTCAGGAAGTGGCATCTACCCGAAGACCTGAAGGAGGAGAGGGCGGGAGCCATGCAGGTATCTGCGGGAAGAGCATCCGGGCAGAGGGAACAGCTGTCGCAGGAGCCCTGAGGCGGAAGCTGGCTGCTGTGGTTGAGGAGTAAGGGGGCGGCGTGGCTGGAGCAGAGTGAGTGAGGGGGAGAGGGAAGGGATGAGGATAGGAAGGTTGGGGAGGGGAGGCTGAACTCTGACTCCCCCTGCGCCCCAGCAGAGGGAGCTGGGAGCCCCTGCGGGTTTGAGAAGAGGCAGGATGTGACTGGGCTCAGGTTTTAAAGGACTCCTGGCTGGTAGGGGGAGAGCAGGGGAGAGCAGGGCAGGAGCCTGGCAGGCAGGTGGCTGCGGTCCTCTGGGTGAGAGAAGGCAGGGTTCCCGTAAGGCACTGGAATGAGAAGCGAGAAGCGGCTGGAGTCTGGAAAGACCGACACTGGAGCCAACGGGATTTGCTAATGGCCTGGGTGAGAGCGCTAGCCGGGAGGGAGACACGGATGGCTCTGGGGTTTGGGTCCAAGCAGCCGGCCCAGCAGGTGGAGTGCTGGGTCCTGAGAGGGGGAGCAGAACAGGACCTCGGTTTTGTGGCCCTGAGATGCCCATCAAGAGCAGCTGGATGAGCACAGCGGGCCTGTGAGGAGGGGCCAGCCAGGGTCCCAAACTGTTCCTCTAGCCCGTCCCAGGGCCCCATCCTCTGGCTAAATCCCTGGCCTCTGAGTGGCCCTGGGGCCTCCTTTCAACCCCTTTCTGACACGGGGAAGACTGAGGCAGGACAGCTGGGTCTCAAACTGGTTTCCACTGTGGCCCCACTGGGTGCAACGGGGTAGAGTTGGGGAATGTGCCTCAGGAGGCCATCCTGGTGGGCTCTCTGCCCCAGGATCTGGGACAAGAGAAAGACACAGAGCAAGCACATGCCCTAGGGACACGTGGGGCAGAAAACAATGAAGAGGGGGAAAGTGGCCTAGAGGTCTGGAGGGCCTGGGGAAGGGACAGCCCCCTCCAGCTCTTGCCAAGTGAACCTCCCGCTCTGCTCTGGGCCTCACTAGCCCCCTGTTCTGGCTGGGATGGAGGCAGGCCTGGCTGTAGAAGGTGAAGCAGGCCAGATGTCCATGCCAGCCTCTGGTGGGGAAGGGGGGTTCTCTAGCTCCCTACAAAGGAGAGAGATGAGCAAAAAGGGTGGTGGGGTCCAGAGGAGCAAGTAGGGGGCTGACAGTGACAGTGGATACGGGTTACTTGGTCACCAGCCCCTGGGCAGATCGACATCCCCCACCTTGTCTGGCTTTCTCACCCACAGGCCCTGAGCCACAAAGCGGGAGCCCCCCACCCCTGTGCATAGCGTTCAGCAGGTGCAACTAATGTTTGCAGAAATGAACGAGTTTCTTGATGAGGCTTCTCCACTCTACTGCAGGCCCAAAGATCCCTCCCTGGCCCCCATGCCAGCTACTCTGACCCCCATGTGCCCACAGAAACAGGGAGCCCCATAATGTGGTACCCGGTCCCAGCAAAGGACCCAGCCAGGCTTGTGGGATATACCGGATAGAGAAGCACAGTGAGAGAAGGAGGCAGACCTTTGGCTGCCCGGCTGCCGATCCCCTGCCCTTCTCAGCCTAGGATCTCCCCCTAACACACGCCAGCCCAGGAGGACCTTCTGCTCTGCCCCAGGGCAGACCTGGACCAGGAGCAACTCACCCACCACATGACCCCACGCCCTCTTCCGTCCTTTTGCTTCCCAGAGCGAAGCAGTACAGGGCCCAGGCCTCCCCAGGTCCCAGGCCCCAGCCCCGCCCCCTCTTGAGCAGCGGGCAGAGGCTTCTCCGCAGTGCCTGAGCTCCCCAGCGGCAGCCCAGTCTGTCCCCAGGAGCAATGCAGCAGAGGGACAGCAACAGGGGAGGGAGGGCGACAAGGCACCCCCACCCGATCCTCCAACATGGAAACCCTGAACTTGCTGGGGATGGGACAGGGGTCCCTTGGGCCATCTGGGGCTCTAGGACAGTGGAGAGAATGAAGATGGAAAAGAGCCTGAGCTTGGGGGAGGTGAAAGATGTTTCTTGCCTGACCAGGGGGTCTAAGCCCAATGCCTGAGACCATCTGGAGCCAGCACTGGAGGCAGCGGATGTGGCGGGGGTGGGGGGTGATGTGAGTCTGCAGCTCTCCTGAGCAGAGCCCTGAGCGGGCGCAGGGGGCATCCTCACTTCTCCCCCAAGCCTCAGCCTGGAGAAGGGTGATACCATGGGTCCCTGGAAGCTCCAGCCCCCCTCAGACCCCTTCCCTGGAGAGGGGAGCATCTCTACAGTCAGGACCTGTGGCCGTGGTGGAGAGAGAGGGACAGAAGTGCAGAGGGGGAAGGTGAAAGCAGGGCCGGTCCTCCTGTTGAGGATCCAGGTTCTGGACAGGGCCTCCCAGGATGCAGGCTGCTCCCTACCCAGGTCCCCTGACCCCAGCCCCTCCAGACTGTACACTTCCTACCGGGTGCTCCTGGGAGGAAGATGGGGGGCCCCCACTCTCCATGCCGCCCCTTCCAGCTGTTCCCATTGGGATGCCTACCTACCTGGGCCTGTCTGGGCATCAAGCTGGGGGCAGGTAGGAGCTCACTGCCCCCGCTGGGCCAGGCCAGGGCCAGAGGTGCTGGCTGTCCTCCTCCTCATCATCCGTGGTGGCGGGCAAGGAGGGGGCCTGGTGCCTGGGCTGGGGGCTCAGTGCTCTCGGGTCCCCTCCACTGGGGCTCGGGAAGGCAGCAGCGCCAGAACAGCAGAAGCCAGCTCCCCGCCCCCCACCGCTGCCTCCTCCCCTCCCTCCTCCCGACCCGCCTCCTTCTCCAGCCACCCACCTCCTTCTGCTCGTCTCTATGGCAACCGGGCAATGCTGCACCGCCAGCCTCCCTCCTGTACGCCAGGGGACGCCCGCCTTCCATGCTTGGAGGACATCACCTCGGGCGGGGCATGCACACTTCACCTTCTTGGAGACGCTGCTGAACAGACGGGCTCACACGGCCACCCTTGACTGTGGGAGGCCCTGCTGCAGCCCCTCTCCTCTCTCTTTCTCCCCAAGACCCTCCCTCCCAACATCCCTTCCAGACCTTGGAAGCCACTCCTTCCCCTGCACCTGCCTCGCTCGGGTCCTTACACCTTGCCACCCGCTGCTCTGTAAACATTTGTTTGCTTCATTCTTCCCGCTCCCTCGACCAGTCCTCACAATTTTATTTTGCACCTGTTCTGGGTCAGACGGAGTATGGGATGTTCCCCTACCGTCTTATCCCATTTTACAGATTGGAAACTGAGGCCCAGCATAGTCAGACAACTCCTTCCGGTATCCGAGGCTCACGGGCTGGTTACTGGCAGTGAAGCCTTGGGATTCCAGCTCCAGGGCTGCTCTCACAGGCCACGGCTATCACAACCCCCCCCCGCCAAAGCAAATCTTGAAGACACGTGTACACCCAACTACATGGGTCCAGGACATGCAACACACAAGCCCTTTCTATAGAAAATCAACAGCCATCCACACAAGCCCCCAGCACCAGCCCCATGGGAGGGGATCAGTGACACAAACAAGTGTCCCACCCAAGAGACTGAACCAGAATCCACTTCCGGGAAAGGATCTGTCGGCTCCACACCCGTCCTCCAGAGATCAGACGTTAATCTGCCTACCTCCTCTCAGCATCTCAGCCCTGCTGCCCAAGGGGCCCAGGGTGGGGGTTGAGAGAGGGCACACCTTCCCCTATCTCCCTCCCTCATTCTCAACGTCCTCTGCCTATCCCATCCAGACTAAATCCTACCAAGAGCCCCCTCAGCCCCTCCAAGTGGCTGTCAGGTCCTGGGACTTGGAATTATGACGAATACAGTAAAATGGGCACCTCATCCTTGCAGAGAATTCCAGGCTCCGAGAACCCTGCTGTCTCCTGTGAGGGGCAGTATCTGCTGGAGGCCGGGTCTGGATGCCCAGGAACCACAGTGTGCCCCACAGGATGCACGGTCCCTAATCCAGCACCACCTCAGAAAGACCCAGGCGAAGATCATGGCCACACCCCATGCCCCAGAGCACTTCTCAGGGGCCTCACACCATCCAGAGAAGACAGATACAATCGGAAAGACCCAGAAGCTCACCAAAAAACGGTTAATAATAACAAGAATAGCCTCTTCCATATTTCATCCCATTAAGATCCCCCTCAACCATGAGACTGCTGATTAAACCAAAGCTGTAAGTAGTAGACGGCCCATCCAAACATCAGAGCTGTCAATGGGGGGGGTGGTTGGGGGGGAAGGGGGGTGGAATCATGTTGGGATAGATGAAACCGGGCCACCCATTCATTCAGCGGATGCTTACTAGGCACCTGCCAGGTAGCAGGGACTGTTCTAGGGATGGGGACACAGCCATGAGCAAAACAAAGTGCCTGCCCTCGAGGGTGCTGAGCCAGTAGATGTGCTGACCTCCTGTTTCCCTGCAGTGCCTCTGGCTGTCACAGCAGCCCTACGGGTGAGATCACAGAACTGACAAGGAGACAGACGCTCTAGAGACTGAGCAACTTGCTCCAGGTGACACAGACAGTCAGTGCCTGGGCTGGGACTCGAACACGCAGCTTTGCCAAGCTTTTTCCAATGCTCTACATTGGCTCCATTAAGATCTGATTAGGTGACACCACAACAGCCACCCATTTTCTAGAAGTTTCAGAGCGAAGTGTATTTCTCATGCTTAGATCAAAGGCAGGACGGGGTCGTATGTATCTGAAGGACCAGTCAAGAAGTTGATGTGAGGGCAAGGGCGCCTGGGTGGCTCAGTCGGTTAAGCATCTGCCTTTGGCTCAGGTCATGATGCCAGGGTCCTGGGATGAAGTCCTGAATCGGGCTCCCCGCTCAGAGGGGAATCAGCTTCTCCCCCTGCCCCTCTCTCTGCTCCTGTGCTCTCTCTCTCTCTCTCACAAAAATAATTGGAAAAAGAAAAAAAAAAGAACTGGATTGTAAGTGAAGACATCCCCACCAAATGACCTCAGAAGTGACTTCAAGCCTGATCATCCTTGAGCCAGAAGCCTGACAGTTGTCCCCAGGCCTGGAGGTTCTTTGCAGAGGGTCAAGTTAAGGCCCAGGCCAGGAGGGTGGGGATGCCTGGCACCTAAGAGCCGGGGCTCCCTGGAGAGTGGGGAGACTTCAGCTGGGGGGCGAGGAGGGATTAGGTTTCCAGGCTCTGTAAACAGAACCCCCTGCCCATCTGCCAGCCCCCCAGCCCCAGATCATCTTTCCCCTAAAGAGCCAGGTCCACCCTGGGTTTCCAAAAATAGCTGTCCCCAGCACCACCCCTCCATCAGCCTGATCCAGCCCCACCCGTTGCCCGGCAGACCCCTGAGTTCTTCCCACCCATGCTCACACAGGTTCTATGGGAGATGCTGAACCCTCTGTCACCCCCTCTGTGCCCAGCCAGCAGATCATCACCTCCACGCTGTCCCACTGTCAGCCTGATCCAGTCTCACCTGCTATGGGGAGGGCCACCAAGCCACCACAGTGCAGCCCTGGACTCTCCCACCTGCAGGGCTCAGGCAGGCTCAGAGACACACACACACCATGCCTGACCTCAGCCCTATCCCTGGACCTTAACCATATTGCAGTCCCAAGGGTGGGAGCACTCAACATATGAGGAGGGGGCCTCATGCCTCCCAGGAGAAGCCAACCCCCTTCTGTCACCGTCTCCTCATCCAACCCAGAAACATTCGTTGCCCCCCTTCCTAGCCCAGCACAGCTATCCCACAGTTCCCCAGTGCCAGGGCAAATGCAATCAGGGCTCATTAGCTGTTGCTTTGCATCTCATTTGCATAATGTTCCCACGACTGTCAAAATGCCAGAATCCTCCCCAACCCCTGTCCATGACAGGCAGCTCTGGAGAAATAAAATGGACAAAATTCCACTGAGGGTCTGTGTAGGGGGCTAAACACGGATGGACGGGGAAGGGCAGAAGGAGAAAACCGAGGCAACTTCCAGTTTCAGACCCAGGAAGGCACCCAAAGGAAGAGCGGTAGACACTTACTGAGCACCTGCTAAGTCCAGGCACCATGCACAGTGCTAAAATGGTTCACAGCAAACCATTTTACAGATGTGGAAACTGAGGCTCAGAGCTGTTAAGGTCTTGCTACTTAACACCTGCATCCCAGGACCAGCATCTGGGGCATCACCCAGGAGCTGGGAGGAAATGCAGAATATCAGGTCCCACGCCAGACCCCAAATCAGAGTCTGCATTGCCACAAGGGCCCAGGAACACTAGGGTGGGATAAATACTTGTTAAGGGACCTGCCCTTAGGTATACATAGCTGGGAGAGAAAAGGGGTGCCTGAACCAGCTAATCCCAAATTAACAATTCTTTCCTGAGCACTTACTATGGGCAGCCCTGCGCTAGGGGAGGGACCCAGGAGACAACCAGACACATGATATCTGTAAACCTTGTGGGCATTTCACGAACATTCTCCCAAAGCGGGAGACACCCAACAAATACACAATAACAGTTCAAATGGTGTTAGGTGCTATCAAGAAAAATAATGCAGGCAAAGAGAGAGGATGAATGGGGGCACACGCTAGAATCCCTCTTCAACAAGATGACATTTGAACAGAGATTTAAATAAAGGGGAAGGGCAGGTATGTGTTGATTTGCAGGAACAGTGTTTTCTGGCAGAGGCAGTAGCAAGGACAAAGTCCTGAAACAGGAGGAAGCCAGGCACACTGTTGACTCACCAGAACTGAATGGATGTCTGGATGGGCGGATTGGTGGGTAGACGAAGGGATGGCAGGTAGAGAGAAGTAGTAAATAAGGCAGGAACAAAGAAGAGGCAGGCAGAGGGTAGATCCTGCAGGGCCCTGGAGGTCATAGGGAAGATTCTATCTTATTCTAAGTATGAAGGGAAGCCATTGGTATTTTTTTAAGATTTTACTTGTAAGTAATCTCTACACCTAACATGGTGCTCAAACTCACAATCTCAAGGTCAAGAGTCGCACATTCCACCAAATGAGCCAGCCAGGCACCCCGAAGCCTTTGGTATTTTTGAGCAAGGGGGAGAAGAGATCCAATTTATATTTTCAAAAGATCGACGTGGGTTTTACATGGAAAGGTGAGTAGAAGGAAGCAAGGGCTGAAGAAGCAAACCAGTTAAGAGGCTTTTGAAATATTCATTCCCAACAGAAAGGAGTGCTGTGGCCGCTGAAACACACACCCAAGAACATTTGTTCATAACAGCAAATTCTCTTCAAAGCAGCTTTGTTCATAAGAGCTCCAAATTGGAGGCAACCCAGACGACATCTACAGAAGGACTAACCAGCAAATTGTGTGGTTTGTTGCATAGTCGAAGTTGGCAGTTTGCCTTTTCATGGCCACATAGGATTCCACTGGGCAAAGTCAATGGTGTGCTGGAGGGAGGGGCAGAGGGAGAGGGAAAAGGAGACTCCCCACTGAGCAAGGAACCTGACACAGGGCTCAATCCCATGACCCCCGGATCATGACCTGAGCTGAAGACAGACTCCCAACCGACTGAGCCACCCAGGCGCCCCCACACTGTCAAATCGTATACAGCAATGAGAAACATCGGACTACACACAACCACATGGATAATCTCAAGATACCTTGCTGAGCAAGAGAAGCCAAGCTTAAAAGAACATATGAAGTAGATTCTATTTATACAAAGCTCATCTTGACTTCCGGTTCCTGGGCAAGATGGAGCAAATACACCTCCCTATTCCTCCTG